GCGTTCCTTTTTAGGGTTCGCCAGCTATTATCGTCGGTTCGTTGAGGGGTTCGCCCAGTTAGCCGCACCATTACATCAGCGAGTAGCGACTTTGAATGGCAGGTCAAAACGGAAAACCAGTACGTGTGACATTGAAGCCTGGAGTGATGAGTGTCAGAGAAGCTTTGATGCCCTTAAGGCAAAACTTACCAGCACTCCAGTCCTCGCATACGCAGATTTCTCACAACCGTTCATTTTAGAAGTAGACGCGAGTCACTGTGGTTTGGGGGCAGTGCTCTCTCAAGAGCAGGATGGCAAAGTGAGACCGGTTGCCTATGCGAGTTGTGGCCTGCGGCCTACAGAACGCAACATGTCGAACTACAGTTCGATGAAGCTCGAGCTGTTGGCACTTAAATGGGCCATGGCTGATAAATTCAGGGAGTATTTGCTGGGCCATAGATGTGTTGTCTTCACTGACAATAACCCACTTAGCTATTTGGGAACAGCAAAGCTTGGGGCTGTTGAGCAGCGTTGGGCTGCACAGTTTGATTTTGAACTTAGGTACAGATCTGGCAAGAGTAACCGAAACGCAGATGCACTGTCCCGTCGGCAATGTCTCACCTCACAAGAGCTTGCAGACATGGTTCCTGGGACACTCATCCCACACTCCTTGCAGGAACTGTTCGGTCCAAACAGGGTGGAAGCCTTTCAAGCAGTGGTGGCAGCTCTGCCGGGGCATTCAACCAGTGACCTACGGGCCCAACAAGCAGCAGACCCTGTTATTCAGGAGGTGATGACCTTCTGGCGGGCCAATGTTCGACCCAATGCTGAGGAGCGGAAACTCCTCTCTCCATCTGCAGGGGTACTGCTTCAGCAGTGGGACCGCCTGGTGGAAATGAACGGGTTAGTTTATCGGAAGGTCTCTCGACCAGATGGTGGTGAGGCCATACACCAACTGTTACTTCCCGCGGTCTTGACCAAAGAGGTACTAACCCAGGTTCATCAAGAACACGGCCACCAGGGAGTAGAAAGAACACTGAGCCTGCTGCGAGCACGCTGTTATTGGCCCAGGATGTCCAGAGAAACAGCTGAGTGGTGCCAGCAGTGTGAGCGCTGCCAAGTGGCCAAGGACTCCCGTCCTCCAGCTCGTGCCTTTATGGGTCACCTTTTAGCTTCGCGACCAAATGAAGTCATTGCGCTAGACTTCACCTTACTCGAACCCTCACGGAACGGTGTGGAAAACGTGCTTGTTGTTACAGATGTCTTTAGTAAGTTCACGCAAGCTTTCGCAACCCGTGACCAACGAGCCTTAACTGTCGCTCAAGTTCTGGTGTCTGAGTGGTTTTGTAAGTTTGGTGTTCCCGCTAGAATACACTCAGACCAGGGTCGAAGTTTAGAAAACTCTGTGATGCAGCAGTTGTGTGGATTGTATGGGATTGCAAAGTCCCGAACAACACCATACCACCCAGCCGGCAACGGCCAGTGTGAGCGATTCAATCGTACGCTACATAACTTGCTTCGCACTTTACCAGTTTCTCGAAAGCGGGATTGGTGTTCTTGTTTGCCACAACTGTTGTATGCTTACAATACCACACCCCACCAGTCGACCGGTGAATCTCCATTTTATTTGATGTTCGGACAAGAACCCAGGTTGCCAGTGGACTTCTTACTGGGCCAGGTCCTAGATCCTGTTGCTGGCGAGCTCCATGAATGGATCTCTGAGCATCAAACCCGCTTACGCTTAGCTTTCGAGGGGGCTGAGGAACGCTTGAGGGCGGCTGCCCAACGTCGAAAAGCTCAGCATGATGAACGTGTGCGTGATAGACCGTTGGAGGAAGGAGAACATATCTTGGTGCGCAACCTTGGTGTCAGGGGTAGGTGCAAGATGCAGGACTTCTGGTCCTCTGTTCCGCACGTTATCTTGAGAGCACCACGGGAAGGAGGCTCAGTGTATACTATTGCTCCTCTGGAAGACCACACTAAGACCAAACAAATACATCGATCTTTGATCAAGGCCTGTGTAGGGCTGACTGATCCAATAGAACCTGCACTGACTACTCCGTCTCATGTTGTTCATCCAGGCTCTCCGATCACTCCCCTTGGTGATGGTGACCTGTGGTATGCGGTGCCTGAACAGTCTCATGAGTCTGCTTTTGTCCCAAGTCCCCCAGTGCAGGTGCAAACCGGTCCACCCTCTCAGGCAGTGGCAGTCGAGGGGCCAACTCAGGAGGCAGACCCTGCTAGCTCTGCACCGGTCTCACCTGTGGGCTCCGTCAATGCTGACTTACGGAGGTCTGTTCGCTCTACTGCTGGTCGTCACCAGAACTTGTACAATTTACCACGCTCCGTTCTAAACTCCAGGAATCCAGCGTCAAATCTGTAAGTAGGACCTGGATGGTTATTAAGTTCATCGTCGGGGCGACGATGCAAGGAGGAGGGGTAGAATGTAGTAGTAGGCCCTGCGTGCCCGGTGGCAGCCTATTGCGTGCAGTCTCCTCCCTTTAAAAGGAGGATGGATCACCTGCACCATCTCTTTGCCCGCCTCTGACGTCACCGCTGTCCCAGGAGCAGTGAGCTGCACAGCATGGAGTCTGGCTCCACAGCTTGGACAAACACAGTTGCCGGCCCTAAAGCTGGCATTCGCGCTTCATATTGAGCTCACAACTAGTAAGTACAGTGCCATTCCCCTTCGATTGTCTCCTTATCCATCCTGCTTTATATAAAATACTTTACGCTCCCCGCAGCGCTCTGTGCGTGGCGTCTTGCGGCCCAGTTGCGGTGCAGGGTCAACTGAGGACACCTCCCGCATGTTTGGTGTGCGTGTTGTCACATACCATTACGGTAAGCTGGTGTGTGCCGCGTATCCGCCCATTAACATTACTTTCCAAACTTAGTGCTAACTAAGCGCTCTTTATAAGGTGGGGCACCCGGTTCTACGCGCCTCCTGCGCTGGGTCTCTAGGGGAGCGCTTCACGCAGAGGATTCATGGTGCGTATTTTCCCGGCTCCTGAGCTGCTACGTGGGGTTTTACCTGTACTGTAAATTCTAAATTGTCACTTCTTTTAGGTCCAGTCTTCTCGAGCCTCTCCTTTCCTCTCCTCCTGAGTTGCCTTGGCTCATGTTTTCCTGGTGTCCATACAGTGTGGTCCATTTAGTGGCCATCAGTTAAAGGAGGTGCCTGTAACTTTTGAAATAGCTGCTGTGAGTTTGCACAAAAGCACATGTAAGCACCAATGCACTTTAAAACAAGTTAATCTGGGGTCATTGTGTTTGTTTTGTGTACTGTGCACTGCATTTTAAAAACTATTTTAATTATGAACTTAAGTGAATGTTGATATCAAATAAATATTGTAAACCTTTTTCTAATTTTGTCTCTGTCCCTCAGTTACTTACCTGTGTTAGCCGTAATCCTTTATTTTTTATTTTCCCTTCGGGGTGGCGTTGTTGGCAACAAACCAGTATTTAAAATTATCCACCAGTATATCAAAACCCTCGCACCACACAAGCAATTATAATGAAATGGAAGGAGTATCAGACCACTGCAAATCTACCAAGACCCGGCCGTCCCTCCAAACTTTCATTTCAAACAAGGAGAAGACTGATCAGAGATGCAACCAAGAGGCCCATGATCACTCTGGATGAACTGCAGATAACTACAGCTGAGGTGGGAGAGTCTGTCCATAGGACAACAATCAGTCGTGCACTGCACAAATCTGGCCTTTATGGAAGAGTGGCAAGAAGAAAGCCATTTCTCAGAGATATCCATAAAAAGTCGAACTTTTTGGCCACAATGCAAAACGATATGTTTGGCGTAAAAGCAACACAGCTCATCACCCTGAACACACCATCCTCACTGTCAAACATGGTGGTGGCAGCATCATGCTTTGGGCCTGCTTTTCTTCAGCAGGGACCGGGAAGATGGCTGGAGCCAAATACAGGACCATTCTGGAAGAAAACCTGTTGGAGTCTGCAAAAGACCTGAGACTGGGACGGAGATTTATCTTCCAACAGGTAAATGATCCAAAACATAAAGCCAAATCTACAATGGAATGGTTCACAAATAGATGTATCCAGGTGTTAGAATGGCCAAGTCAAAGTCCAGACCTGAATCCAATCGAGAATCTGTGGAAAGAGCTGAAGACTGCTGTTCACAAACGCTCTCCATCCAACCTCACTGAGCTCGAGCTGTTTTGCAAGGAAGAATGGGCAAGAATTCCAGTCTCTCGATGTGCAAAACCGATAGAGACATACCCCAAGCGACTTGCAGCTGTAATGGCAGCAAAAGGTGGCGCTACAAAGTATTAGCGCAAGGGGGCCGAATAATATTGCACGCCCCACTTTTCAGTTTTTTATTTGTTAAAGTTTAAATTATCAGATAAATTTCGTTCCACTTCACGATTGTGTCCCACTTGTTGTTGATTCTTGACAAAAAAATTAATTTTTATATCTTTATGTTTGAAGCCTGAAATGTGGCGAAATGTTGAAAGGTTCAAGGGGGCCGAATACTTTTGCAAGGCACTGTACCATAGATGATACACACCAACACTTATGAAATGAAATTCAACTATGTCATTTAAAAGTTAGATTTTGACATGAATTGTAAAGGTTACTAATAGTGTGTGGGTGAACAGTAAACTTGGAGAAAAATCAAGTAAAGTACTATCAATAATTTTAGGTGAGGCGGATATATGGATTTACAGTGTGGTAGTCGACTAGTCTAGGAAAAATATCTTTTAGAGTCGCCATCACTGGCCTGATTTTAAAAAGTAAATTTTCTGAAGTTCATCAACACTCCCCTCAAAAACAAGATGGCACGTCTCAAAGGGTCATCATGCCTGAATAAATGTGAAATACTGCTCTGCTATACTTTATCAAAAATTATGAATGAAGAATTAAATATGTAAACCTGGACTAATCCAGAAACTGAAAACCATGATAAGTTTCCAACTAGTGGAGATTGCTGCACCTCAACTCAAAATAGAAAGTATAATCATATAACATCTTTCTTTTTGGTTTCCTAGGCCTGCTGTCAGCCATGGACCTTGTAGAGGTTAACCCAGTGTTGGGTGCAACCCCTGAAGCCATTGAGGCCACTGCGGCTTTAGCCGTGGATGTGATCGCCTCTTCTCTGGGGCAGACGAGAGAAGGTGCCCACGCCCCCCTCCACGAGGAACCCGCCGTGAGCGCAGAGGACACAGAACAGCTCAGACTTTAAAGAGATGCACAAAAACAATGTCCGCAAGGCATTCCACACAACCAGAGACTACATAAACTGAACTAAATTGCATATTTAATATGTATCTTTCTCTTTGCTGTGTTGTACCATTTGAAAAATGTGAATGCACTCAAGTCACTATTCTGATCTAACATTCATGTTGTTTGAATGTCTAATGAATGGCCCCATATGACTGAAAAGGTAAATGGTGGACATACATGGCCTATAACAGATTTCGATCATCTATTTTCTATCCCACGACAAAGTGCATTTAAAGAAAAATCATATCTTCCATGTGTGCTCAATAAGTAGCCTTAGCTTTAAAATGTATCACAAAACATTTTTATGAACAGTGAAATACCAATGTATGTCAGTATCTTAGGTGACTCCATGTGTGTTGTTGCATTCCTACTAATGATGGGGATCTAATCAATTCAATACTAACCTATTTTGTAGGCAAAAGCATGTATGAATGTGTCAACTGCAAATTGATTATGAAATTGCATGAACAATAAACATAGTGAAATATTTTGTTGTATGTAAAGTTTAGACCTGCCACATGTGTTGCATTCTATTTAAGAGAAAAGACTGCCTCAAAGGTGGACTCACTTGTGGCTGTGCCTGCTAGTAATGTTAACTTGTGTTGCACTTTTGGACCAGCTGTGGTTAAGGTATTTCTTTGGAGTATACTTTTGTATTTTAATAATAACATAATCAAAAATAGTATTAATTGATACCTAGTTTTGATTGAACTGCTGTATGTTTTAGTTTCTATTTTTATTTCATATTGTTAAACTAATGTTGCCACTGCAGTAATACCTCTTGTGTTCAGTTTCTATTTTGGTCTTCCAAAAATGTCAAAATATTTCATCAGTGTCGGAGGTTGTTTTTCACACACATCTTTCTAGAACCACACTTTCATACAGGATCATATGACTGGGTTTTAGATTCTTATCAGCCCTACATTGCAGCTGGTGTAACACTTCAGACCACTAATGATTCTCTTATCGCCTTTATTTGAGACAATGTTGTTTGCCCTCAACCAAAAGTACTAGACTGCCGCCCTCACTGACGTCAGCTCCACTCAGCTCTCATAAGTCAAACAACAAGAATGACATAATTTACATTTAACTCACCGCACAAAGACAGTAGTCCATGACAGATTCTGGATTTTACAGTTGATCAATACAGCTCCAACGTAACAATGTGACCCACACATAGAGAAGCAGTCACTCGCAACACTAATAACTGCCTGTGATAAAACGTCTTTAGTTGGTGCGAATAGTTTCCATTAGTGATGATAAATAAAAATGGGATTGAAATATCCGACAATCATCTGCATAATCAAAAAAGTCCAGCGTATTAATCATTACCAGTAACATTAGTGTGCCTTTTATCTTCCCGTTTTTTGAATGTTTCATCCAACACCAGTCAGCAGTTTTGTCTGGATGATCCTCCAACACTCCAAACCATCTCTCAGTCCTCATTGTGGGAGTCAAACTTGATATTATTGCTTCTAGATTCCGGGAAGACTAAAGGTTCATATTTAGTATTGTCCTATTTTCTAAAAAACTTGAGGTATACAACTGCTCCCAAAATGGCCACCTCCATGAGAATAATAATCCCCAAAAGCAACTTGTTAGTCACAAGTCTGCAACAAAAACAATCAGAATTCAGTTACATATATTATAAAAGTGTTACAGAGCCTTGCAAAAGTATTGAACCTTTCAACATTTCAGGCTTCAAACATAAAGATATAAAAAATATTTTTTTTGTCAAGGATCAACAACAAGTGGGACACAATCGTGAAGTGGAACAACATTTATCTGATAATTTAAACTTTTTGAACAAATAAAAAACTGAAAAGTGGGGCGTGCAATATTATTTGGCCCCCTTGCGCTAATACTTTGTAGCGCCACCTTTTGCTGCAATTACAGCTGCAAGTCGCTTGGGGTATATCGCTATCAGTTTTGCACATCGAGAGACTGGAATTCTTTCCCATTCTTCCTTCCTCCTTCCTTCCTTCCTTGCAAAACAGCTCGAGCTCAGTGAGGTTGGATGGAGAGCGTTTGTGAACAGCAGTCTTCAGCTCTTTCCACAGATTCTCGATTGGATTCAGGTCTGGACTTTGACTTGGCCATTCTAACACCTGGATACGTCTATTTGTGAACCATTCCATTGTAGATTTGGCTTTATGTTTTGGATCATTGTCCTGTTGGAAGATAAATCTCCGTTCCAGTCTCAGGTCTTTTGCAGACTCCAACAGGTTTTCTTCCAGAATGGTCCTGTATTTGGCTCCATCCATCTTCCCATCAACTGTCCCTGCTGAAGAAAAGCAGGCCCAAAGCATGATGCTGCCACCACCATGTTTGACAGTGGGGATGGTGTGTTCAGGGTGATGAGCTGTGTTGCTTTTACGCCAAACATATCGTTTTGCATTGTGGCCAAAAAGTTCGATTTTGGTTTCATCTGACCAGAGCACCTTCTTCCACATGTTTGGTGTGTCTCCCAGGTGGCTTGTGGCAAACTTTAAACGAGACTTTTTATGGATATCTTTGAGAAATGGCTTTCTTCTTGCCACTCTTCCATAAAGGCCAGATTTGTGCAGTTCACGACTGATTGTTGTCCTATGGACAGACTCTCCCACCTCAGCTGTAGTTATCTGCAGTTCATCCAGAGTGATCATGGGCCTCTTGGTTGCATCTCTGATCAGTCTTCTCCTTGTTTGAGATGAAAGTTTGGAGGGACGGCCGGGTCTTGGTAGATTTGCAGTGGTCTGATACTCCTTCCATTTCAATATAATTGCTTGCACAGTGCTCCTTGAGATGTTTAAAGCTTGGGAAATCTTTTTGTATCCAAATCCGGCTTTAAACTTCTCCACAACAGTATCTCGGACCTGCCTGGTGTGTTCCTTTGTCTTCATGGTTCTCTCTGCGCTTTAAACAGAACCCTGAGACTATCAAAGAGCAGGTGCATTTATACGGAGACTTGATTACACACATGTGCATTCTATTTATCATCATCAGTCATTTAGGACAACATTGGATTATTCAAAGATCCTAACTGAACTTCTGGACTGAGTTTGCTGCACTGAAAGTAAAGGGGCCGAATAATATTGCACGCCCCACTTTTCAGTTTTTTATTTGTTAAAAAAGTTTAAATTATTCAATACATTTCGTTCCACTTCACGATTGTGTCCCACTTCTTGTTGATTCATGACAAAAAATTAAAATTTTATATCTTTATGTTTGAAGCCTGAAATGTGGCGAAATGTTGAAAGGTTCAAGGGGGCCGAATACTTTCGCAAGGCACTGTATATACAGTATACATGCAAGATAATAAAACATACATCTTACCTTCGTGCCATTTTACGCAGAATTTTTCTACTTCGAGTGAGGTTTTCACCCGTATTTACAAGCTACAAAAACAAACAAGGCATCCAATAAGTAGTAGTAATTAATAAATCAGTATTCATTATTCACAAAAACAAGTCAAACAAAAGTTAACTTTGTGGTGATGAGAAAAATTACAGTTCTGTCGGTAACTTATTGGTAAACCATATCTCAGTTCTCATGAGGTGTGGACATCAAACATGATATTATTGCTAGAACAGAGTCAAGGAAGACTAAAGGAACATATTTTAAAGTTGGCCCTGCCAGAAATTAGTTTGACACCTCAACTCAAATATTTCGCCCTCAATCAAAAGCACACATTTGCATGTTTCTGATTTATGATTCTCTTGATATGGTTGCATTTGGCAAATATACTGTACATCTTTACAGTAAAAATAACTGACCTAGAAACAGGTGATACGATCTAGATAATGTTTGCGGAAACGGTTTCCAATAGTTGCCAGTTTTGGGAGATCATAGGGTCAAAAAAGTCATACAAGATATTATTCAAGTCAACCTAACCTAAATTAGTTTGACACCCCTGCTTTGAAGTGACAAATTTTGATAAAATATGATATAAAACAGAATTATGTATACCCAGTAAGTATTTCACTTTTTATTTACTTATTACTTGTACACATATACTCTGTCAACAGGCTCCTATATTTAATATTTCAACATTATGTTTCCAATCCCCTATGCGTCTCATAATTTGGAACCCACTTACTCTATCTCGAGTGCGGTCCAGCTGCTCTCTCTGCTCTCCCAGCTCTTCAATTATGTCTGTGCCGATCTGGTCCGTTTCAACTGCAATACGTTGACTGCGTTCGATGCTTTGAGTGGCGTTATTCAAGGACTCAGTTCCCTGCAGAAGTAATGCTCTTTGGGATTGTAAGTGCGTCTGTGCAGAATGAAGAACACAGGACATTTCTATGCATGTGTATGTGACAAACAATGATCCAATTGTCCTTGTGAAACGCCATTTTAAAAATCACACACAGGCTGTCATTCAGCTGTCATTTGTTACTTACACTGTGCTGATTTCGTTCAGAGTAGATGCCATAGTTTCCTCCTTGTGAAGTCAAATGCGAGGAGTTGTTCTTCATCTCTCTCTGTAGTTTTGCCATATCTCTTTGATAGATACGCAGCTTCGTGTTCATGGCATTCCGAAATAATGGAGGGGCTCCGCGCAGCTCATCCTCCATGCCTTGTAACTGATATAGAAAATGTATTATAGTATGCAGCAGATATATTAAATAAGAGTTCTGATTTATAAAATAGGTGAACATGGTTTTTAAAAAAAACATAAAATTATAAAAGCTATTGACCCCGTGTTTTCGAATAGTATTGCTGAAACTGACATATTGCCTTCTAAAATAATCTATACACAAATGAGAATGGCCTTGAGCAAGTAAGGATATGACAAATACAATACCACTTAACAACCACTACCAACCAACAATGTTGAGTTTAACCTTTATAGATAAGAGAACGAGTCGGTTGAGTTCATAATCAAAGTCAAACTGTTTCAAAAGGATGCTCACCACTTCCTCTGCCTCCCCTTGTCGCTCATCAAAAACTCTGACCAGTCTTTTTCTTTCCTCTATATAGATAATTACAGGTTAAGTAACGTTGTTATGGTACAAGAAATACCATGGCATAATGATATTACTGTAATTTTGTTGTTTACCTCCTTGAGCATTGAGAGCTCTGTCTGGGAGCAACTTTAGCTCGTCGTACAAACATTTGTACATTTCGTGAAGTTTCTCAAACTCTTCAGATGACATTTCGTATTGTTTTAGACCTAAACTTTTTATTTCGACATCAAAATAAACGGGTAAAACAAATAATATCCTCGCTTGAGGAAATCTGCTTTGGTTTTTAATGAGATCCTCGGGACTTCCTTGTGATGGACCCAAACGGTGTCCTTCAGATGCCTGAATTTAATATATTATTTTACTCATTCACCCCTTAGTTGTTTTGTTTCCTTAAAGATAATCCAGAAAAACAGTGATATGTTTGCTAGTCTATTTTTCTGGGAAGTTTAAAGCATCAAAATGACCAAATTTCTTAATTTGCTTTGGCAAAGATTGGACAGCTCAGGCTTTCTGTTAATGTAGTTTTTATATTACATTCCTGCCGGATTTAAATCATGATTCACACACAAGTCACAATCTATAAATGTATTTTAATAATTTAGAAAAACTTTCTTATCTCTAGAATTATTTAAGTGAATAATGATTTAATGCTATTTTGAAATGATGCATGCACATATAACTAACGCTTTAAATTTAAGTCATTACACAAAAATGAACAACTAGTCACAAAAAAGTGTTTTGTTTGTCTTTTATGGTGAAATGTTTACATCTAGTCATAGGCAATCATTGAGATAGAAAAACTACAATCCCAGGATGCAGCGCGAGGTATCGTTCACACACTGCTCTATGCTTTGACATCAGCTGTTCTGCCTCCAGAAAGGACTGAGGCAGTGGACGCAGAGACCTTCATCTCCTTTTCATTATGTTGCTTTTATGTATTTTAGCGAGCATCGTCGTCGTCGTGTTTTTAGCCATCTCATTTTCAGCGCAAATTAGGTAAGTGTCAATCGCTGGTGTGGATATTTACTGAGCAATGCTATGTCCAAGCAAGCAGCACGTCATGATGGGCTGGCTACTGTCAGGGCATAGTGCAAAGACATTAATATAAAGATTAACACGCTGGTTGGATGATAGTGTGCACGGTTTGTATTCATATGTATGGGGTTTATCATTTTTCAACACGAGGCTTAATGCGTAGCCCAGAAAATCAAAGAAACCGATGGAAGATATGCTGAGATTTTTGGTAGCAAAGATGATGAGATGGAGCGGTTCGGTTTCTTCCGTCCTACCTGCTCGCACCAATGGAGAAACAGTGCGTGGGCGGAGCTATATTTACATGCATTATTCCAGCAAAGTCATTGGGCAAAGCGAAACTCTGCTCAGTGGTGTGTCTCGTACCATTTACTCACAGCAAACTGTTCATTATTCCAAGTTAGACACAAACCATGTGAATAATTAAACCAGGCTGTCCGTAAGTCAGAGATGCGCAGGACACTGTAACCAGGACACTGCACTCTTAACTAGGCCAGTGTGATGTGATCTTATGGCATCAAGAAGCATACTTCAAGAGACATTGAGCTGCAGTCGCACTATAGACAATGATGGCCTATATCTATAGTGAGACTGTGAGCAAAGAGTTGCAGTATGTCATAATGTTTATTTCAAAACCATTAGACACGGTTTCAAAAACGTTTTCTTAATAAGACATTGCTAAAGTTGGGGTACCTTATTTTCATTCCACTAAAATAGAACTATGTAGTAAATTGAGGTTTGTTCTCAAAGTTTTACATTCATGCATGTTTAGCCTCTGTCAAATCAGCTTTTTCAGACAGATAAGTGAAGAGAAGACTTCCGTCACTCAGCCAATCAGCTCTCAGCCTAAAGTAGAGTTTTATGAGATTGTTTTTATTTATTGTTTTACATTACTGAGTGACTTTTGTGTGGTATTTATCAAAACCTTTTTCGATTAGAGAGCTACTTTTATAAAACAGAAATGGCAGAGAGCTACCTTTTTTAGCAATAATAATAATACAATTTTAGTCTATATAATAACTACAGGCAGTCATGGAGAACACACATTCATACCATTATACTGTACAATATCCCTGCATTACTGATGAGATTTATAGTTAAAATAGATATGTAATAACTCAAAAGTGAATTATTCAGGTTCATGTTTTAAATTCTGGAATCCTTTGGGGAGCTAGTTTAGCTACCTGAAAGGGGGTGGCGAGCTACTGGTAGCTTTGAGCCACAGGTTGGAGATCCCTGTTTTATGTGGTCCGCACTATGAATGGCATCTCAGGAGATTACCTTTCATGTTTTGCTTGTTTGAACAGGAAATATGCAGCAGGTGGAGAATGCGCATCACCAACTCGACTGGATGGAAAGACCGTCCTCATCACAGGAGCCAACACCGGCATCGGGAAGGAAACAGCACTTGATCTGGCAACAAGAGGTGAAACTTGAGATTATTTTACTTCCCAAATTTTCAGAAAGAACCACCCTCTCCACTTTTAACGAGCACGTATCACCAGAATGATTGACAATAAGGAGGACCAATAGTCTTGATGATCCACCTGGAAGTTTAAAATCCTCCTATACTTTTTTATAGCATCGGTCAGTTACCAGTGACCATCAAAGTGAAGAAATAGGATTTAGAAATGATACATATGATCCTGAATACTTAACTTTTGATCCTATTATATGTAAAAAGTTCATTATGTCTTCTTTAGTATCATAGGAGAAGTAGGAGTAGTGTAGCAAACCCCCCCGCATAAAGGAAGACACTTTACTGATGATTTTTGAGTTTAATGGCAGTAAAGCCTCAAATTCCCCGTAAGAGCTGAGAGCACAACAATAAGAAAAGTGTGTAAGCAAATTATCGAACTCTTACAACCTTACAAATAATGCAACGTACATTTGACAATTTTACATTTGTAATAAAAGTACCTTGTTCCTCAACAAAGGGGTAGCTAAAAAATAATAAAATGTTTGTGTTCCGTTGAACTTTTTTGGAGCACCTTTCTGTTGCTGTGGTTACCATGCATTGCCGTTGATGGCTTGTGCCTCGCGCAAACATGTAAAAAAAAAAGGAAATTGCCTTAAAAAAAAAAATCCCTAAACTAAAACCAAATGTTAACTGTAGCTGAAATAAAATATTCTCAAAAACACTTTGTGGTCATTTACAAGTAGGATCTACGTCGATGTTGAGAAATTATTCTACTTTATGGCTACTTTGGATTTTAAAGTCAATCAAAAGGCTTTCTCTGTGTTGCTACAGAGTTATCATTAAGTTGAATCACTGAAATGAACAGCATTTGAGAACATTGTTGGAAAAACTATACTTCAGAACAGAATTAGGATATGATGGATATTATTATTATATTCATTTTGCCGGACATGTTTCTTTGGCAGGTGCCCGGGTGATCATAGGCTGCAGAGATGTAGACAAAGGAGAAGATGCTGCTGCTAGCATACGCATGTCGTGCTCCAATGCAGATGTGGAGGTCCGGGAGCTGGATTTAGGCGACACCTGTTCAATACGAGCATTTGCACAGAAATTCCTCAGCGGTAAGAACACTCCAGGCATTGGAAGGTGTTAAGCAGAGACTAATGTATTTGTCATTGTGCGATTCGCAGAATTCAATGAGCTCCACGTTCTAATAAACAATGCAGGCGTAATGATGTGCCCTTACACCAAAACTGTGGATGGCTTTGAAATGCACATCGGAGTAAATCACTTGGGTAAGTTAGTTCACAATTCTCTATTTTTATGTTAATCCCTAGTACTCCTGGCACAATGCATCTCTGCTTTTGGCTAATGTTATTAGACACTATCCCTGTAAATTGAAATAATAATAAAAATAATACCATTCCATAAACCAGATATATAATCTTTTAAGAGCTTCCATAGAGAAGTTGAATATTTACTGTAGACCATCCAAAAACTACATTTTCTGTTATTGCTTAAAATATCAACATGGATGCTGCAATGAGTGACTTTGTCTTTGTCATCTAATGAAATTAATATTATTCATATTATATTATATGATTGTAGTTGGGTTTGATTATTATCTGCCTTGACCAAACATTTGCAGAAACAATTTGAACAAATGTAAATCAACTTAAAACGAAATTGGTTGGAGGAAGTTGGTTGGAGCAGCAAACCAACCAAAAACCTTATTTCTGATCTTGCTCTACAACAATCTTTTTAATTGAAAATGTATTATTTATATTTATAAAGCTTTAAACACAGGCTCAGCATGTAATTCCCTACTTTTCAAAGTTGTTTTTACATGTTTTTCATAGAGCCTTGTAAAGAATTTCATTAAAAATGTCCAGAACTAATTTACAGGCAATGCTTTTTTGATGTACTATGGCATGGCATGATGTAATGGTGGAAGTGTCATAGCTTGAGTTAGGAGCCATTAAACAGAAGGGTTGGGGGAACAACTTTGTACCACAAGTTCCAAATACTAGAATAGATGAAAGTAAAAACAAGTTTAGATCTGATTATGATGGTTAAACGCTCAAAAAGACGACTTTACATAATGTTTCTTAAAAATCTCCTTCTCTTCTTTCTGTACAGTCGATGGCTAATAACTGCCCTGTCCCCATTCTAGGCCACTTCCTGTTGACGTACCTGCTGATTGGTCTGCTGAAGCGCAGTGCTCCATCTCGTATTGTGGTCGTATCGTCGCTCGCACACAACTTTGGCTGGATTCGCTTTCATGACCTTCACAGCCAGGGCAGCTACAACAGCGGATTAGCTTACTGCCAAAGCAAACTGGCCAATGTGCTTTTTACCAGAGAGTTGGCGCGCAGGCTGCAAGGTACACAAACATTTCAATGTGGGAGAAGGAACAGATGACTGGCTTGGAATAAACAGAGTAGTAGGATTGAAGATTAGCAAATGTACAAATGTCAAACTATTATTTGTTTACATACAACATTAGTAGTAGTATTATGTTTACAAACCTAAAGTATAAGTAATCTTTATATATATATATATATATATATATATATATATATATACTGTATATATATATATATATATATATATATACTGTATATATATATATACTGTATATACTGTATATATACAGGCATTTTTACAGACAAAGGTCCGTAACATGTATTATAGACTGATTAAAATTACTACAGTAACAAAACTAAACAAAACATATGACTTTTTCAGCTATTATAATTTATGACACAAACATTTGTTTATGTTGAATGTTAAGATTTGGATTATTCCTATTAAAGCTGGGGTACTTAACTTGGAAGATTTGCTTTTAAAGCTGGGGTACTTAACTAAATAACTCATAAATAATACGGTCCATCCATTCATTTTCTTCAGCTTTATCAGTTGCCGGGTCACGAAGGCAGCAGTTTAAGCAGAGACGCCCAGACTTCCCTATCCACACACACTTCCTTCAGCTCATCCGGTGGGATCCTGAGGTGTTCCCAGGCCAGCTGAGAGACAATGTCCCTCCTTTTATGAATAATAATGTAAAATTTTTCCCCAACAGAAAGTCTTTTAAATGTGAAAAATCATAACATGCGGTCTTCATGTAATTAGAAAATATAGAATATTTTTCATACTTCTTAGAACAATCCCTTTGAGTTACTTTTCTGTCTGAAAAAGCACCACTAAAGAAGTGGCAAAAGCCAAATACATGTGTGGGAACACTAGTGACTAGTGACTAATAGAACCAAACTGTTGTTAGTTCGGTTCCATTTACTGTGGTTTGAAAGTTGTTGGGTACCCCAGTTTTCAATAAAATGGTTTATTTCTCATGCCTGACTCTCGCCAGGGTCTGGCGAGAGTCAGGCTAGCATTTCTCCCCTTCATCATAGTTTCCGTAAATACAATCAAAAGCACTGCTGACACTGCCAAATTGATGTTACCAACGTTAATGTCACGTTTAGTTTTATAGCAAACTTACACCAGCTGCCCAAAGTATTCACATGCACAAAAGAAAAGTATGTAAAAATACATACACATAAATATGTAAGGATTTAAAAGTCTCCAATACAGGAGCCGCTCTAATGAACGGAGGTAAACTATTCCACAGTTTGTAAAAAGCAAAGGCCCGGTCTCCTCGAGTTTTGAGATGAGACCTGGGCTTGTTCAACAAAAGCTGGTATTGGGAGCTCCTTGCTGACCGCTTGCTCCCTGTGTGCCGTCTGTGCAGGCTATAATGTGACGGTGAATTCGGTGCACCCTGGCACAGTGAACTCCGACCTGACACGGCACTCGACCATCATGATGATCCTGTTCACCATGTTTTCTATATTTCTGAAAACGCCTCGAGAAGGAGCTCAGACCAGTGTCTACTGTGCTGTGGCTGAAGAGCTGCACTCCATCTCTGGGAAACACTTTAGGTAACATCCCTGCCCGGTCCTCTACACAACTTTACTACTTAAAAACAGTGTTCGAAGGAGCCCTGTGAGTCCCTATTTGATGCTTTGGAGAGAGTTGATTGGTTGAGTGAGAGAACGAACTAGCATGTGTTATTATGAAATAGAACCAAATTGTTTAGAGAGCGAGGAACAAGTTTCATGGATTTTATTACATTAGGCCTTGTGGTTTTAACATTACCCAGTTTTAAGTATCTCAAAATTTTAGAGAATCACTGCATGTCAATTTCAAGAAACAATTATGTTCCATAGAATTCCAAACTAAACGTAAATGCATGTGTGTTATTTCCTGACCACATTATAACTGCGTGTGGATCAGCCCGTCCACACATCTGTAACATTCTCTGCTTGTCCACATGGAGATGGATACATTTAAAGTAGGGGTGTCAAAATTATCGCGTTAACGTGCGTTAATTAATTATTTTCATTAATCGCGTAAAAAAAATGAACGCTTTTAACGCATGTGCCAAGTGACTGGCACCCCGTGCGCGTGTGACCGGGGGGAAATTGCTTTGAATGGGAGTCCGCAGCGCTCTGGGGCAGCTGCGGCCGCTTTGGACAGCGGTTCCCGCGTCCTGCAGCTGTGAGCGGCTTTTGTGAGCTGTAATTAACTTGATTAAAAAAATTTATCGTTTGACAGCCCTAGTTTAAAGACAAACATTTGTGTTTCTCACCAAAAACACAATGTGACTTTGTCCCAATCGTTATGAAAACTGCTTTGGATCCAATGTAACAGAATGTTTGAAGTGTTTTCTTTTTCCATTGTCTGACCCAGAGCAGTGTGGCATGATTCATAATTGATGCTCCTGGCGCAGTTTCGCCTCCTCCATCTGATCTGACAAATAACACTGTGGTTGTCTAAGAGGAAATTAAAACGCAGAGGACTGTAATGTAATCTGATCGTGAGCTAATGTCCTCTCTCACACTAAATAATAGCCCAGAGGACGTTTAAAAAAAAAAAGATATTTTGGTGTGAGAGAATGTAGTGTTTGATCATTCTTTTTGTGCTAAAGACACAAAACAGTCTTATTAATTTTCCATTATGAAAATTCACACTGAAGGCATCAAAACTATGAATTAACTCATGTGGAATTCTGTATGTACTTTAAAAAAAAAAAAAGTATGAAACAACAGAAAATGTTTTATATTCTGGGTTCTTCAAAGTAGTACCTTTTGCTCTGATTACTTCTTCGCACACTCTTGGTATTCTCTTGATGAGCTTCAAGAGGTAGTGACCTGAAATGGTTTTCCAACAGTCTTGAAGGAGTTCCCAGAGATGCTTAGCACTTGTTGGCCCTTTTGCCGTCACTCTGTGGTCCAGCTCACCCCAAAACCATCTGGATTGGGTTCAGGTCCGGTGACTGTGGAGGCCAGGTCATCTGTCGCAGCACCATCACTCTCCTTATTGGTCAAACAGCCCTTACACAGCCTGGGTGTGAATCTACAGTCAATAGTCATGAAAAGAAAGGAAACTCTTTGAATGAGAAAGTGTGTCCAAACTTTTGGTCTGTACTGAGATGTAATATATATAATAATTAAAAAAAAAAATTCAGTGGGGAAAACAAGTATTTAGTCAGCCAATTGTACCTTGTCCTCAAGAGAGATGCCTTTAATTTTCATCATAGATATACTTCAACTATGACAAGGGAGAAAAAAATCTTGAATTTCAAGAATTTGCAATTTTTTGTGGAAAATAAATATTTATAACAAAAGTCTACCTCAATACTTGTTACATACCCTTTAATACTTGTTACATACCCTTTGATGACAATGAGTCATCAGAGGGTTTTCACACTCTATGCATATCTCTTCTAAGACAGTATTGTTTTGGGCAACACATACTTTCAACTCTTTCCAAAGATCTTCTATGAGGTTGAGATTTGGAGACAGGCCCAGGACAATTGATCCGTGAATAGGGCCATGTACTGTGAGATTTTGAGTGAAAACCTACTTCCATCGGCAAGATCATTGAAGATGAATCGTGTGTCTGGGTCTTTGATCATGACAATAATCCCAAACATACTGCCTGGGCAACAAACGAGAATAGAAAATCTTAGCAGGGAGTATTATTGGGTGTATTACCCGACCCCAAAACATAATTGCGAGAAAAGAGATCTGCATGGAGGAATGGGCCAAAATACCAACCAGCAACAGTGTGCGAAAACTTATTATTGTAAGCTCTAAAATACATGCAGTAGAAAAATATGTTGTCTTAAAGTGCGTGAGTTTGCCTATTCTTGCATCAGAAGTAACTTGGCCTGGTCACATGCTTGTTTACATGGCTATTGATACATTTCATATCATTCATTTTGTTGTTTTTCAAAAATCTAGTGGGATAATGGACCGTGTCACTCGCTTGATCAAAATATTTAAAATTATTTCTGCATATTTTTTTCCTGAAAGTCCAGATAATAAATACGCCAATAAAATGCCGATGATATCTTCTTTTCTGACTAAAAACGACTTTGCAGTTCTTTGTAGTGCACTGAGAATACACTTGAAAGTTCCACTGTTGTAAAAGCATGTCCAACCACATCATTATTTTTTTATCTGATTTTGTTCTGTTTCAGTGACTGCGCCCCTGCGTTCGTGGCTCCCCAGGGCAGGAGTGAAGAGACGGCTCGCAGACTATGGGAGGCTAGCTGTGAGCTTCTTGGCATCGTATGGGACTGATTTTATAATAAATATATTATCTTAGATCCAACAGGAGGGCTTAACCTTCAAACCATCATCTATCTCAAGTGTTTTTCTGATTTGTCCTCATCAGACTTTGATACAATCTTTATATCCAGGTTACAAGCTACGATATGTACGATAATGTGAATTTGCTTATTGTGTGTGATATTGCTGTAAGTACTTAGACATGCAGCACTGTGCAAAAGTTAAAAGTACATTTTACATTCTTTTCCACCAATCCATGAAAAGGTTTGGCTACAATGTTCCACAGTATAGCTTTTAGGGTGGTAACTATTACGGCATTTGGCTAAACGTGATTAGCGACTAATACAATAAATATTTTTTTGTATTTTACAGTCAGTTACAGCCTTACTAGGATTAGATTTATCTTTCTTGCATTATTTCATTCAATTTAATTGCAAAACATGCATTCATACAGTTTGGTGAGCAGGCTCGCCTTTTCACAGGTCTGACTTGGTCTGGTGGTGTCACTTGTTCCTTTGGGGACAGACAATGTAATGATGATAATAGAAATAATAACGCATTAGTTATGCGTAGTTCTTTTTTGGACACTCAAAGACACTTCACATGCATTCATTTGTTGAAGACAAACATTTGGTATTTCAGCACAAGCAGTATTATGGTCAAATGTGCTGAGTTTCATTTTTGTTGACTAGTTCAAGTGCTGATGCATGTTTTGTGGCTTTACAAAAACTGAGTTCAAGTTTTTGTAAAGCCACTAAACATGCATCAGCACTTGAACTAGTCTCAAATATGGTTTGAGTTTGAGACTATATCAATTTGAACGATCATGTCATCTTTATTATCCTGGTACATTTCTAAAACCTTTTTTCATTGAGACTTTTGCACAGTTCTGTCGATACTTAGAGGTTTCTTGCACAACAGGCAAAAAGCCAAACACTTGACAGTATTATTCTCTAATGAACAATAACTTTTTAACTATCTATTTTTGTGAAGCAATGTGAATACATTTAGGCAAAAAGTAACATCTGGTGTACTGCTGTAGGATACTGTGAAGGGTCAAACCAGGGTAAACAACCAGCATTACTTTAATTTCAATTCAATCTTGCTTTTCCCCACCTATTACAAGCTTGAGATAAATGTCCTGCTTGCATTTTAGTCACTCTAATGTGCCATATTGTAGAAATAATAACTATAAGCCTCAGTAATTACTTAATTATTGCCCCTCCAATGGAATGTCCAGATGGTTTCAGTCACATTTGAGGAGTTAAAGTAGCCTGACCAGCCAGACGCCCCTCCTTTCTGATAAAACAAAAAACCTGCATATCTTTGTAAAAGCATGTACTATAGTCTGGCTGGCCAGAGAAGAGTTGAGGGATTTAGTGCATCTGACCACGGGGACATGTATAAATGATCTAATTTGACTATTCAATGTTGCTATAAGTTAGTAGTACTATAAGTTATAGTACCAACATGTTGTGTCGTTGGCTACATTTTAAAAAGTGTTTGCTTCTCCAAAACCACAACACAATTATTACTGCTATTTTTTATATTAGCACCTACCATTTAATCTATTCTTCACAATTCTGTTATATAAGAGTTTGCCAATGTTTATATATATATATATATATATATATATATATATATATATATATTTATCAAGAATCCCATAACCAAATTGAACGCATTCCCAAAGCTGGAGCACTGTTTTATGGTTTTAACACGCAACATATTCAGTACACAAGTTGCCAAGTTTTTATTCCGCGTTTTATACAGAAACTCATGCCTTTATGACATTTCCATTATGTTCAGAGTTGAATGTTTACATTGATGTAAATAAAATGGACTTATTAAAAAACGTTTGAGATCTAATTTTGTGCACCATTAATCAATTACCATGTTATATTTAGAATTCAACTTATTCATACAAAAGACACTAATATTGCTGCTCCTATTGAAACATTTAACACCAATATCTGATTATAGCATCCAACAATTAAGTTGTCCTAAATAATTTGTGTCAAACACATTCTGGATCTCCTCTGCTAAAGGAAATAAAGTAGATCAAGATTTGAGGCTGATACAGAGCACATGACTTTGTGAAACAGTGTTATTAATATTTTAGAGGTTTACGTTGGCATTTCTTTACACAAATGAAATATAATAAAGAGAAACTGCAGACCAAAAAAGGTGATTTTGGTGAAAACTCATTTCACCAATCAGACAGACTCTCAAAGTCTGTTTTCACTGTTCAAACAAATTCACAATTTCAGCAAAATAGAAAGACATGTTTTATTATTTAATTACATCTCAATTTACACAGGAATAAATCAATTACTTTCAAAAGCATTATTCTCTGCTTCCTTGTGGGTGACACAAATGTACAGTTTGTAATTTTTTCAGTATAAAGTGCGGCAGTGATGAGAGAACAGTCAAAGATCAGAGTGTAAAAAGTTCCTACATGCATCTGGGCTTTATTCTCATTATTATATTATATTGTATCATATACATTTTATCTTATAAATATATAATGTGATTGGAAGTGTTTATTTGCCAATTTGGTACACGTTTCTAAGTCACCAAAGTTTAAACCACATTTAGACTTCAATAATTACATTTTCCACTGTAACTGTGTAATCACCATTTGTGAATGATTATATTAAATGTGTCTTCATCATTAAATAGAAACACACACCATTTCTTAAAATGCAACAAAGATCAGTTCTATTTACTTCAGGAGACAACGTGTTTGAACAAAAAGTACATTTCCCTTTTCTTAAAATGATTTCACATACATAAATTGGGTAAACGCAACAACAGTTTTTTTCCAACGATAAAAAAAAAAAAAAAAAAAAACCTAAAACCAACAGTTTAATTGTGTGAAATCCCTTTTAGTAGCCGGCCAAGGCATGCGTCATTTGAGAAAACAAAATGCCCATAAATATTTAATCGATTTCTGTCAGAAAAGTGAAAAATTCTGATAACAAAATGTAATAAAACGTTAACAAATAAAAAGGGCAAATGAGTGCATAAGAAACACAAGGCAGAGATCACGGGTAAGTCTGGATCAGGGAACATTTGAATCTTCACAAATTTACAAAATTCATAAAAACGCTCACAGACTCAGATATGGACAGAGATGTGAGTTTCCCTTTTTGGCTGAGGTAGCACAAATGTGTACATTTAACTCAACTCATTACAACAGTAAAGCACTGTGGTCATTCATTCACGTCGCAGACAAGAATATAACTATTAATCTATTGTTTTTTTTATTTTACTTAAACTGTAAGTGATTCATTTCCATTATGTTTCTAATGTATTCTTTGACTTGAGCACCAATGCTTGACAAGAACCACCTTATTGAGACATCCTGGTTTATGAGAACCTCGTGAAACACATTTTAAATCTAAAGCCTTGTGCACTTGGTATTAGTCTAAAGCCATCCATGAAAGTACACACATATTAATGTTTGGATATATAGTTTGGAGCTATAGTTTGGAGCATACATTATGGATTGACTGGTTAACGTTTTATGCATCAAATGACAAGTAATCCTTCACAATTTCTTGATTTGATTTGATATTATAAGTAGATTTTCTAAGGACAATATTGTTTTTCATTCCAAAAAATGTGTTGACTTTGACTTGGAACAAAATGTGCTCAAATCAGGTTCTTATTTTGTCAAGTCAATGTTACAGTCAAATTAAATACTTCTTCAATCCAATTCATGTAAATTGGCAACTTAAGCATATCTGAAATAATAAATACAGTAACAGTCTACCTCTAACCCTTTTCACCTGGCGTTGGGTCGACCTTGGCGCTGCTGCTGCTGCTTCTGCTGGGGAGACTTGTTGTGCTCCGAAAGCCACTGTTGACAAATGTTGAGCATCATGGAGTCCTTCGCCCCCTCTGCTGCCTGGAGGACGTCCTGCACCAGGGGCCCAGCGCGGCTCCTCTCCAGCTTCACCGCTAACAGGTAGGCGGGACGCAACTTACTGCACGACAAGTAGGCTTTGATCTGAACACAACCAAAGCAGAAAGGAAAATCAGTCACATGTGTTTGCACGCGTCTCATATCACAGAATATTTGCACAAATAAATCTTTAACTGATAATAATGTGTGCGTGTATATTTAATAATATATATGTGGTTTGAGGAAGCTCTGTTGGTTGGTCATGTGGGATTGTTTTTAACTAAACTGTAAAGCACTTTGTCTTGCATTTTCTCTATGAAAAGCGCTTTATGAACAAAATTTGATAGTTTGATAAATATCCTGTTTTAGCCACAGTACAACATGGTTCTGGCGTAAGTCAACAGTGAGGAACTAGTTCTGTTTACAAATTCTGCAGACAAGTGTAAATCTACCTCTGACTAACAAGAAAAACACTCACACCTGCCATTCATTCTCAGGGAAAGCAAAGTGTCTGGCCTAAAGACAATAGAATGATCTTGGTCTCGCTTTGTAAAGGAACAAATAACAATAGAGAAAACAAATGTACCTTGTTTTCAGTGTTCTTGATCTCCAAAATTAGACTTTCCAGTTCCTTTGCCTGATGTTGAAATAAAGAAACACAAAGGCTCCAAAATTTTTGAATGCAATCGTGTGTGTTGATCTTTCTGTTTTCTCCATGGTTGGAGTCACTCACATCGGCTGGTGATTTTTCAGCGCAGGTCACACAGCTGAGCAGCAGGGAGTCACAGTCGTTCTTCGTGGCCGTCCCAGATTCACCAACACATTTCAGGAGCTGCTTCACAGCGCCATATTTCCTCTGTCGGACAAGCATCTGACCGGCTCGAGTGTAGACAGACTGGGCCTCCAACTGAAAATCCTAAAGAAGATTCCAGAAATACGGTGAAAGAAATACATTGATTCCAATGTGTCAAATGAAAACATAAGGTTATTTGACACTGACTTATAAAAGTTTGTGTTTTAAAATGATTAACATAAATAGAATATCTAATAATGAGATTAGTGTAATAACTGATTCCCCAGTGGATAAAATATAAAAAAATAT